TTATTTTACATGACAATACCTTCTGAATGTATACAGAGTCCTTTAGTAGTATGACAAGAGGAAGCCCCACTGGGCCAGACCTCGCCCGAATATCACCACCATGGCTCCATTATGACTTCAGCCACAGGAACGCCCAACGCCAAATACTTGTTACTGTTTGTAAACATTTCTTGAATGTGACAAATAAAACAAAAAGTAAAATTGAAGTCTTGGTGTTTATGTTTTGTTTTGAGTCTGTCTAAACTTTATTTCACACTGTAGTGGTTTGGAGATCTTTCAAACCCCCAATGTTTGAGTTTTGGGGAAAGGTCATCATGGTGTTTGAGACCTCTTATAGAGAGATGGGACTTATTTCCCTTCATAGGGGTTCTTGGTTGTTGTGGGCCTCATTTCCTGTCCTGGAGATTTAGTGGTGGGTCTCATTTCCTGTCTCAGATCCTTACTGGTGGGCCTTATTTCCTGCCGGGGCGAACCCTAGTGTTGGGCCTTATTTCCTGTCAGGCAGAACCTTAGTGGTGGGCCTTATTTCCTGTCAGGCAGAACCTTAGTGTTGGGCTTTATTTCCTGTCAGGCAGAACCTTCGTGGTAGGCCTTATTTCCTGTCAGGGACAACCTCAGTGGTGAGCCTTATTTCCTTTCAGGGACAACCTTAGTGGTGGGCCTTATTTCCTGTCAGGGACTACCTTAGTGGTGGGCCTTATTTCCTGTCAGGGACTACCTTAGTGGTGGGCCTTATTTCCAATCGGAACCTTTGAGATGGGCTTTGTTTCCTGTCAGGGAGAACCTTAGTGGTGGGTCTCATTTCCTGTCAGGGCTTGTTTCCAGTCTCAGGGACGTTCCTAGTGTAAACATTACATTTTGGATGGCGTGTGAGGGTTATGACCCCTGTTTAGATTTTGCTGTGCTGTGTCCCCACAGTCTGGAACAGGAAGTGAAGAGATCTCTAAGTGAACCCAATTCTAGACAGTTGTCACTGGAACAGGAGCCTCTATTGGAAGATTTCGCCACTACACTGCTGACAACTGGCTTCTCTCGTTTAGTTAAATCTTTGGTAATGAGACAAGCTGATTGGTTGCCATGCACAGCTGCTCCATATTCTGTCTGTGCCAGTTTTGAAAAATCCCGCCGATTTTGTATCCTGGAATCCTTGCCGATATTGGATACATATTGAGGGGAATTTAACAAAACCTGGGGCAGACCAAATCTGGAGCAGTTGCTCATGGCAACCAATCAGCATCTCTCCAGTTCGGGTAAGATTTGAAGATGACAGAAGCTGATTGGTTGCAGTGCACATCTGCTCCTCCATTTTGTCTGCCCCAGTTTTGATGAATTCCCCTCACTGTATTGGCATCCCAGCTTGTATACAATGTCTCCTCCTGGAATCATTTGGTGCTGTTGGATACAATGAGGGGAATTTATCAAAACTGGAGCAGATGTGTGCTGCAACCAATCGGCTTCCGTCTCCTTTACAAATCTTACCTGAGCAAACTGGAGAGAAAATGATTGGTTGCCCTGGGCAACTGCTCAAGTTTTAATAAACCCCCCCCCCCCCCCCCCCGCTGTGTGTCCCATCTTGTATACGGGAATCATTGGCGGTTTTGGAGAATTCACAATATCCCGTCTGTCATGTTGCCTCCCCATTGCTCTGATCCTTGCTGCGGACATTCTCTATTCGCCATCTAATAGGCAGTCATGTGACTCCCCCAGGCTCCGCCTCACTTGTGTCCTTGCGGAGAGCTGATAACGCTCCGGAATTATTACATCTAATCCAGTGATGTCACCCTGGCGGTGCCCTTAGTTTGTAGGTTTTGGCTGAGAGCGCCCATACCCACCATTGCCAGGGACAGGGCGTTAGGCCGGAGTGTTGGTCACGTGACTCACGTGGAGAACATTCATGTTTTTAGGATGGAGATGAGAGAATGTATGACGGGAAGATCCGAGCAGCAGGGGTGGGGTTATGTAGCCTTTCCTTCAGCTGTTGTATATCCAAGCAGAATGTTAGTTTTATAGCTTTATTGTACGTACGTGGTCGTAGTCGGTAGGAGCGCTCACACCACTTCTTATTAAAGGGAGAAGAGGGATCTTTGTGTTTTTGGGTGGAGTGTAGAAGTCTTGGAACCCCTGTCACAGTTATAGCTGTGTGACCCTGCTGGGGAGATTCCCCCTCTTCATCCTGAAAACGACAGCAAATATTTGAGTGTTCACAGGAAGGGGGAAATCTGACTTAAGACACATCCAGTGACAACTGTTAAAAGGAAGCTTTCCTCACTTCCTGTTGTGCCTCCATGACAGGAAGTTGAGGGGATCTCTCTGGAACACAGATGACCTGAAGTAGCGAGTGTTGCAGAACTAAATTTGCCTTCAATTCTGCTTATGTCAGGCCTGGTTGTCCATTTTTAGGTCTGAGTATAGATTTTTGTCAGTTCAAAGCGTTTAACAATGTGGGGAAGGATTAGAACCTGTTGCATTATTGCGGTCTGAAGCTTCAGTAGAGATTTCTCTCACTTCCTGTCCTGGTCGCAACAAATCCACCAGACGAAGTGAGAAAAGATCTGCTTTGGGGGACATGTTCTAGCCTTTTTTTTTTTTTGCAGGTTTTTTCACTTCCTGTCTGATCAAATTGTCAGGGCAGGAAGTGAGGGGATATCTCTCTAATGGGGTCCTGGATTGCAGTAAAAACCTGGCAATGGTTCTAATCCTTGTGCCCAGTGGGGGTACAGGAAGTGAGCGTACTGATGCTAACTGTGCCTTCCGGTCTTGGTGACAACTGCTCCCCAATTTATTGTACTGCTGTTGCTGGAGACAGGAAGTAAATGTTGAGCTTCCCCATTGCTTTAATAGTAAAGAACACTTAAAGTGCAAGTTAGAGCCATTTTGTTTGAGGGAATCCCTGTCAGGTTTTTGTTACGGTCCCCCCTACTGGGGTCACAGGGACTGAAATGAGGGGAAATCCAGTTTGGAGCTGTCACCAGAGCAGACATAGAGGTCCCACTTGAGGTGCTGGTTCTGGTGACAACTGACTAAATTAAAGCATTTCCCTAATATTGTGGTGGTTTCTCCTCACTTCCTGTCTGTTTCTTGGCCAGGAAGTGAAGGGAATTATACTGCACTAGGCAGGTTTCTCTCACTTCCTGTTTTTTATTACAGCTACTTCCTTTCAGCATTTAAAGAGAAACAAACTGTCTCAGGTGTATTAGGTTTTATTTTGTGTGTGCACCATTACTACGTTGAGATAGCAGGGGAATGTACTCGAGGTGTGCTCTGTGCTCTTCCAGCCTGGTAATTATAGGCCGAGGCCGGGACATTTCACTTCCCGCCATCGCAGCACCTACAATGGCGGCAAGACACAATAGGCTCACTTCCACCATTCTGGTCTCCATGGTAACAGTGGAGAATGTTGGCCTCTCCCCATTACATCACCGGGCAGGATCCGGCTCCGCCCAGGGCTGCCTCGTGCAGTGACGTAAGGCTGGGGACTACCCTGTGGCGGAGGGATACGCGGGCTCGATTTGAGAAGTTGGAGCTCGGGGTTTAGGCCTCATTTTAGAACGGGGGCCCTGGTAGGAGAGCGGCAGAGGGGAACGGGGGTTCAGGAAAGCAGCGGCGGGCTGAAATACTCAGGATTTACCCGCACGAGGTGACGTCATATCCGGAAGTAACTGCGACTTCTTCGCTGACCAATCAGAGAAGGCGGCCGTTTAAATGTCCCCATTGCTCCCTGACAACGGGGCACCGGAGAGCTGAGTGTACCCGGGACATTACCCCGTGCAGGGTGACACCTTACTGTGCATTTACCAAGGGGGCACCTGGAGCATCATACCTCTGTTGCTAGGGGCAACTGGAGCCTCATACCCCTGTTGCTAGGGGCAACTGGAACCTCATACCCCTGTGACTGGGGGCAACTGGAACCTCATACACCTGTGGATCACAGACTATTGAACCCTAAGTAAAATGGGCACACAGGAGCTAGGTAAGTTTCTGCACCAGAGGAGCTTACACTCTAATGTCCCCCCCCCACAGTCACACACGACTATTATACATTTATATAGCTCTGACATACACCGCCGTGCTGTACAGAGAACACTGAGCCAGTCACATCAGTCTCTGTACAGAGGAGCTTACACTCTAATGCCCCCCCACACTCACATCAGTCTCTGTACAGAGGAGCTTACACTCTAATGCCCCCCCCTCCCCCACAGTCACATCAGTCTCTGTACAGAGGAGCTTACACTCTAATGTAAAGGAGGGACAAGACCTGTAAGTGTTAATGAACTGCAGCAGAGAAGAATCAGGTCCTGATGGTCTGGGCTGTGCTGTGTAAATCTCAGGACTGGATGGACACATAGAATCCGTCATGTATGTATCTCCGTGTGTCTGGCGTGTTCCCCTGTAGGATGGTCGGGGGGATCCGGTTGGCGTTTTGGTTCCATTCTGGAAAGTTCGGCGGCTCGGTATTTTTTTTGATCGGGGTGATGTCACACGCGTCGCTCTTCTCATAGAAAAGGGTTCGATGTTTGCGGAAGGCGATTTTCCGTTCTTCACACTTGTGACAGCGCAGATAAGAGGGATCAGCTCCCTGCAGGGTGACAACAGTCATTCAGCCGCAGAGCCTTCCCGGGAGGATCCGGTCATCGCGCCGCACTGACGTCACCTGCAGAGCGTTTTGTATTCTATGCTTTCCTGGCTCAGCTCTGCCGTGTGCCCAAACCTCCTAATATTCAACGTATAACCAAACCCGAAACCTTTTATTTATCATTTTGGATGGAGCCGGGCGAGGGTTAGACCCCCTGTCAGGTTTTGTGTCCCATTGAGGAGACTTCCCTTCATTTCCTGGCCTGTAGACACAACAGGAAGTGAGAGGAAATATTGGAAGATTTTCTCATTACTGCTGCTCCTGGTGACAACTCAAACTGATCACTTCCTGTCTTGGAGATGGTGGTCACCAGGACAAATAGAGAGGGTGGATCTCCCCAAAGGGGGTCACACAGTAATTAGATGATGACAGAGGGTCTAACCCCTCCCCGACTCTTTCTAAAACGGAAGGTTTGGCATTGGATATGCTTTATTGCTTCCACGTGACCGCGGCCCGCACCCCGCGTCTTTATCTGGTTAGTAGACGCAGTGCGGAGTTCCTCTTTATCGTGCGCCGCTAACGCTCTCCTTCCTCCGCTCAGATTGGATCGCCGTCGCCAACAACCTCCTCGGCCAATGCCAAATCGACCTGCGAGTTGGGGACCTGAGGCACTGCGACGCCCGCGTCTTCGTCGCCCTGTACGTGGCCATTCTGGGCGAAGAGGTGCCAGGTGAGTGGCTGGGGTCATGTGACAGAATACAAGATGGCCGGCTTTCCCTTTTGCGGGACGTTTTTCGGGGGCTCCAATGACGGGAAACGCACTTCTCTTCGCAGATTTCATCGCCCCGCCCCGCAATCAGGAGGACGACGCCCACAACGTCCAGTCTGTGATCGACTCGCTAGCCCTGGACTATCTGCAAGTCAGCCTGTCTCATATAACCGGTAGGTCACATGATTCGGGGGGGTGTGGCTGGCGTCTGCAGTGCATTCTGGGAAATGGCCGGAGCTGCGGGACATGCTGGGACCAGCCGCTGCTGACCTCAGGAAATGCTAGTTCCCTGGCTGTTATTTACCCCCTCGGTGTGATTCCTATCCTCAGCCCCCCCCACTTACCCTCTTCACGGGGGTATCCGACATTGACATGATCACCTGTTGTGATTGGCCGGCATGCCCGGTCCCGTGCAGCCATATTTTTTCCCCGTCATCTGTCTCGTCCAGGTTCTTGCAGCCAGTCTCCTGATGCTGCGCCGCCAGGTCCTTCCTCCCCCCAGCCAATGCACGGAAGCTGATTCCTCCTGGGATATGTGGAGCAGATATCTCTGGAGACATGTCATTCTGCAAGAATGGGGGCGGGGCGGGGGGCGGGCACTCTGAATTAAGAAAAAGGTAAATAAACACCCCAAAAAAGCGACCCCTTTCTACATTGCAGGGGAGGGGGAGGGTTACAAGGATGCAAAAGGGACTTTTTGGTGTTAAGCTTTAAGTCACTGACCTGGAACCAGCAAGCAGATCAGTGTCCTATATGTGAGCAGGAACAGCCAGGCAACTAGCATTTTCAGAAGGGTAGAAGAGCCCGTCCATGTTCCTCCGTGTCCTCAGTAGACGTGTGTAATAAGTAAGTTACATGGGAGGTCCCATTACCCCACCGACACCCGTCTTCTGTTTCCTGCAGGGGAGAACATTGTCCGAGGGGACACGGAATCCATCCGCAACCTGCTGGAGATATTCCATGGCCTGCTGGAGTACCTGACGGAGCAGATCAGTGACGCGTCTTCTCAGAACGGAGGTGAGGGAGCGGGAAGCGCGGCGCAGAGGGCGCTCTGCCGGTTCTCTGGCTGGGACACTCCCTATATTTCTGTCACACACCTGTACCGATCCCCTTCCCATTGGATCACCTTCTACAAGGTGATCACATATATAATAAACACCCTAATTCTTTACCATCGCCATGACTACCGCCATCATCACCACCAACACCACCACTGCCATCATCATCACCAACACCGTCACCACCACCATCATCAACACCATCACACTCCCCCCATCATCATCACCAACACCATCACCACCATCATCATCGTCATCGCCCCCCAACACCATCACCCTCCCACCATCACCACCACCCTCATCATCACCACCATCATCATCATCACCACTATCATCATCACCACCATCTTCATCACCACCATCATCATCACCACCATCATCATCACCACCACCATCATCATCATCACCACCACCACCATCATCATCACCACCACCATCATCATCGCCACCACCACCACCGCCATCATCATCATCACCACCGCCATCATCACCGCCACCACCATCATCATCACCGCCATCATCATCATCAACACCATCACACCCATCATCATCACCACCCCACCACCAACACAATCACCACTATCATCATCATCAACACCATCACACCCATCATCATCACCACCCCACCACCAACACAATCACCACTATCATCATCATCAACACCATCACACCCATCATCATCACCACCCCACCACCAACACAATCACCACTATCATCATCATCAACACCATCACACCCATCATCATCACCACCCCACCACCAACACAATCACCACTATCATCATCATCAACACCATCACACCCATCATCATCACCACCCCACCACCAACACAATCACCACTATCATCATCATCAACACCATCACACCCATCATCATCACCACCCCACCACCAACACAATCACCACTATCATCATCATCAACACCATCACACCCATCATCATCACCACCCCACCACCAACACAATCACCACTATCATCATCATCAACACCATCATCAACCCCCCACCACCTCATTGTCATCCTCATCATCACCCCCCACCCCCATCATTACCACCACCCTTCATGAGTTGTGTCTCCTCTCACCCTTTTTTCTTATCTCTGCAGATGATGGGGATCACAAGGATGTGCGGGATCAGTATGAGGGGCAGAAGGATGCGTTGCCGCCCCTGAGGCCGCCCCCCTCTCAGGGGTAAATACTTGGGGATGAAATATTCACATTTAATCTCATAAAGCGGACCTTCCACCTCTGCGGCACGGGGAAAAAACATTGGAGGTGCAGAGTGCTGTGCTCGGTCCTCGGGGTACTACTGATACTCAGCAAACAGTACAGGGAACAGTGCCCAACCCCACAACAGCCAATCGGAAGTCAGATCAGGTCAACATGGAGTCTGATTGGTAGCTGAGGACACTGCACGCTGACCCTCGTACTGTTTCCTGAATAACCGTGATAGACTCCATGCTGCTTCACTGACATCTCTGCTCCTCTGCAGGTCCTCGGAGCCCATGGTCCCCGCCTGGGAAGTGGACGGCTCGGAGTCTACCAGCGAGCTCATCCGGCTGGGGGAGACGGCGCACACCTTCACTCAGAGAGGTAAACATTGTCTGACCATGTGTGACCCGCGCAGCATGATAGTCTGCATGTTACCGCTATCCGGGGGCTGCGCTACAGAGATTTACCCTCACTTCCTGTCCTGATAACAACAGTTTCCAGACAGGAAGTGAGGGAAAATCTGATAGCACTGGGTTCTGTCACTGTATTATGGGCCCCATAGCCCTGACAATGATAGCACTGGGCTCTGTCACTGTATTATGGGCCCCATAGCCCTGACAATGATAGCACTGGGTTCTGTCACTGTATTATGGGCCCCATAGCCCTGACAATGATAGCACTGGGTTCTGTCACTGTATTATGGGCCCCATAGCCCTGACAATGATAGCACTGGGTTCTGTCACTGTATTATGGGCCCCATAGTCCTGACAATGATAGCACTGGGTTCTGTCACTGTATTATGGGCCCCATAGCCCTGACAATGATAGCACTGGGTTCTGTCACTGTATTATGGGCCCCATAGCCCTGACAATGATAGCACTGGGTTCTGTCACTGTATTATGGGCCCCATAGTCCTGACAATGATAGCACTGGGTTCTGTCACTGTATTATGGGCCCCATAGTCCTGACAATGATAGCACTGGGTTCTGTCACTGTATTATGGGCCCCATAGGCCTGACAATGATAGCACTGGGCTCTGTCACTGTATTATGGGCCCCCGTACCCCTGACAATGATAGCACTGGGCTCTGTCACTGTATTATGGGCCCCCGTACCCCTGACAATGATAGCACTGGGTTCTGTCACTGTATTATGGGCCCCATAGTCCTGACAATGATAGCGCTGGGTTCTGTCACTGTATTATGGGCCCCATAGTCCTGACAATGATAGCACGGGGTTCTGTCACTGTATTACGGGCCCCATCGTCCTGACAATGATAGCGCTGGGTTCTGTCACTGTATTATGGGCCCCATAGTCCTGACAATGATAGCGCTGGGTTCTGTCACTGTATTATGGGCCCCATAGTCCTGACAATGATAGCGCTGGGTTCTGTCACTGTATTATGGGCCCCATAGTCCTGACAATGATAGCGCTGGGTTCTGTCACTGTATTATGGGCCCCATAGTCCTGACAATGATAGCGCTGGGTTCTGTCACTGTATTATGGGCCCCATAGTCCTGACAATGATAGCGCTGGGTTCTGTCACTGTATTATGGGCCCCATAGTCCTGACAATGATAGCGCTGGGTTCTGTCACTGTATTATGGGCCCCATAGTCCTGACAATGATAGCGCTGGGTTCTGTCACTGTATTATGGGCCCCATAGTCCTGACAATGATAGCGCTGGGTTCTGTCACTGTATTATGGGCCCCATAGTCCTGACAATGATAGCACGGGGTTCTGTCACTGTATTATGGGCCCCATCGTCCTGAATATTATAGCACTGGGCTCTGTCACTGTATTATGGGCCCCCGTACCCCTGACAATGATAGTACTGGGTTCTGTCACTGTATTATGGGCCCCCATACCCCTGACAATGATAGCACTGGACTCTGTCACTGTATTATGGGCCCCATCGTCCTGAATATTATAGCACTGGGCTCTGTCACTGTATTATGGGCCCCCGTACCCCTGACAATGATAGCACTGGGCTCTGTCACTGTATTATGGGCCCCATCGTCCTGAATATGATAGCACTGGGTTCTGTCACTGTATTATGGGCCCCATAGCCCTGACAATGATAGCACTGGGTTCTGTCACTGTATTATGGGCCCCATAGTCCTGACAATGATAGCACTGGGTTCTGTCACTGTATTATGGGCCCCATAGTCCTGACAATGATAGCACTGGGTTCTGTCACTGTATTATGGGCCCCATAGCCCTGACAATGATAGCACTGGGTTCTGTCACTGTATTATGGGCCCCATAGTCCTGACAATGATAGCACTGGGTTCTGTCACTGTATTATGGGCCCCATAGTCCTGACAATGATAGCACTGGGTTCTGTCACTGTATTATGGGCCCCATAGTCCTGACAATGATAGCACTGGGTTCTGTCACTGTATTATGGGCCCCATAGTTCTGACAATGATAGCACTGGGTTCTGTCACTGTATTATGGGCCCCATAGCCCTGACAATGATAGTACTGGGTTCTGTCACTGTATTATGGGCCCCCGTACCCCTGACAATGATAGTACTGGGTTCTGTCACTGTATTATGGGCCCCCATACCCCTGACAATGATAGCACTGGACTCTGTCACTGTATTATGGGCCCCATCGTCCTGAATATTATAGCACTGGGCTCTGTCACTGTATTATGGGCCCCCGTACCCCTGACAATGATAGCACTGGGCTCTGTCACTGTATTATGGGCCCCATCGTCCTGAATATGATAGCACTGGGTTCTGTCACTGTATTATGGGCCCCATAGCCCTGACAATGATAGCACTGGGTTCTGTCACTGTATTATGGGCCCCATAGTCCTGACAATGATAGCACTGGGTTCTGTCACTGTATTATGGGCCCCATAGCCCTGACAATGATAGTACTGGGTTCTGTCACTGTATTATGGGCCCCATAGCCCTGACAATGATAGCACTGGGTTCTGTCACTGTATTATGGGCCCCATAGCCCTGACAATGATAGCACTGGGCTCTGTCACTGTATTATGGGCCCCATAGCCCTGACAATGATAGCACTGGGCTCTGTCACTGTATCATGGGCCCCATAGTCCTGACAATGATAGCACTGGGCTCTGTCACTGTATCATGGGCCCCATAGCCCTGACAATGATAGCACTGGGCTCTGTCACTGTATCATGGGCCCCATAGTTCTGACAATGATAGCACTGGGTTCTGTCACTGTATCATGGGCCCCATAGTTCTGACAATGATAGCACTGGGTTCTTTCACTGTATTATGGGCCCCATAGCCCTGACAATGATAGCACTGGGTTCTGTCACTGTATTATGGGCCCCCATACCCCTGGCACTGCCCTTTAGTCCCAGCAATGATAGAACTGCCTTTTCATTACTGGGTTCACTGTATTATAAATTAATTATGAATGGAAATACAAGGAAGCATTGAGGACCACTCATGAACATGCCACTTAGCTGTCTTTCAAACTGATCATGTGATTATTTTCTGAATTACTCAGTTGCAACAAGCATGCAGGTCAGGTGTTCCTGCCAGGTAGTATTTTCAGGAGGAGGTCAGCGATCTTCTCTCTACATAGTAAAGTGGAAAGATGTCCAGGAAGAGTAACAATAGGAAAAGCATTCAATTCCAGATCTTGCGCCCCGCAGTACGTCTTTACCACCACTAGATGTCCTTAGTGTTCTGGGTTGCATGACACCGGCCGGTGAGCTCAGGCTGTCATGGACCCACCTCTTGGGGTCATCATCCTGCGCCAGGTTCATAGTACTTCTGGAAGTAAGTATTATTGTAGAGGTCAGCAGGTCCAAAAAATGCTAAAAAAACAAACAAGTGTCAGAAAACTGTTGGATGGATAGAGAGTATTCTCACCTTGAACTCTCTCCTATTGCATTTATAATTGTTTCATGACTCTTGTTTTGCAGGGCTTGTTATAGAAGGACTCAGACCCAAAGAGAACCAGACTGTAACCTCCGAGGCCGGCGCCAACACTGGTACTCCAAGATCAGTCACCCCTCCACCTCGCCTTCCTACCCTCCCAGTAGCAGGGCATACAACACACAGTGAGTATCAGACGGTATGAGGAAGGGGCAGCTAAATGTAATAGTGGGGTCATAGTGACTCTTCCAAAGACAATGTTCTACACTGGGGAGCTGCTGATATTGGTTAATATAACCAGCTACCACTTTAATCCCTTTACTATGCAATACAAAGAAGGCCTGACACCCTGATAGAAGGCGTGTGTGCCCTCCCCTCATCGGCCTCATGCAGATTGCCAGCCTAGGTGACATAAAGCAGAATAAGAGAATCCTGTGATCATTGGGAGCTGCAGGAGACTGAGGAGGGTGCGGGTCCTAACATAGGTCCTCCTTGCGGTTGGGTGTATGGTGGGGAGATGGGGCAGGTGCTGAGATGTTCTGTACATAGGTAAGGGGGAGCTCCAGTCTGATTTGTTTTCTTCATCTTGCATGCACAGGAGATGTCTCTGTGAATGGATTCTCACTACGAGAACAAAATCAGGCGGTGACACCATCCGCCATCCTTCTAAGGCCCCCATATCAGCCCAAGGACAGCCGCCCTGCAACCATCAGCCCAGACATCCAGGTGTCAGAAACAGCAGGAAGCCCAGTGAGGAGCAGGGGACCTATAACTGCAGCGAGAGGGGCAGCTGAGAGGAGTGGAACCTCAACCGAAGGTAGGAAGCCATACATATACAGTGTACCGGATATATCTCTCCACAAGAATGCCTTCTCCTTTCCCCTTCGTCTTCCTCTGCTCTCACCAGTCTATCAAGAAGTCACACATAGACAGTAAGGGCTGACATAAACACACATTAGGCAGGCACGCACACATCAGGACAGACACACGTACACACTAAGGGCAGGCACGCACACATCAGGACAGACACACGTACACACTAAGGGCAGGCACGCACACACTAAGGGCAGGCACGCACACATCAGGACAGACACACGTACACACTAAGGGCAGGCACGCACACATCAGGACAGACACACGTACACACTAAGGGCAGGCACGCACACACTAAGGGCAGGCACGCACACATCAGGACAGACACACGTACACACTAAGGGCAGGCACGCACACATCAGGACAGACACACGTACACACTAAGGGCAGGCACGCACACATCAGGACCAGACACACGTACACACAAGGGCAGACACACGTACACACTAAGGGCAGGCACACATACACACTAAGGGCAGGCACACATACATTAGGGGCAGACACACGTACACACTAAGGGCAGGCACACATACATTAGGGGCAGACACACATACACACTAAGGGCAGGCACACATACATTAGGGGCAGACACACGTACACACTAAGGGCAGGCACACATACATTAGGGGCAGACACACATACACACTAAGGGCAGGCACACATACATTAGGGGCAGACACACGTACACACTAAGGGCAGGCACACATACATTAGGGGCAGACACACGTACACACTAAGGGCAGGCACACATACATTAGGGGCAGACACACATACACACTAAGGGCAGGCACACATACACACTAAGGGCAGGCACACACACATTAGGGGCAGACACACATACACACTAAGGGCAGGCACACATACACACTAAGGGCAGGCACACACACATTAGGGGCAGACACACGTACACACTAAGGGCAGGCACACACACATTAGGGGCAGACACACATACACACTAAGGGCAGGCACACATACACACTAAGGGCAGGCACACACACATTAGGGGCAGACACACATACACACTAAGGGCAGGCACACACACATTAGGGGCAGGCACACATACATTAGGGGCACACACACATACACACTAAGAGCAGGCACACATACACACTAAGGGCAGGCACACACACATTAGGGGCAGACACACATACACACTAAGGGCAGGCACACACACATTAGGGGCAGGCACACATACATTAGGGGCACACACACATACACACTAAGAGCAGGCACACATACACACTAAGGGCAGGCACACACACATTAGGGGCAGACACACATACACACTAAGGGCAGGCACACATACATTAGGGGCAGACGCACACACACAATATTGACAGACATAAACACACATTAGGCATGTGCGCACACATCAGGACAGACACACGTACACACTAAGGGCAGGCACGCACACATCAGGACAGACACTAAGGGCAAGCACACATACATTAGGGGCAGACACACACAAACACACAATATTGACAGACAGACACACGCAGACGCAGTGGGGACGGTCCAGCTGCAACGGGTGACCCCAGTTCTTGCTCTCCAGTGATGTTTGCTCTATGCCTTCTGAAAACACTGACATCTGGAATCCTGTTTCCGTGCGGTTATAGAGTCCACCTCATCGGAGTCCCTCTTATCTCGGCGGGGTGCGGTCCAGTCCCCTGCCTTGTCATCAGGGGTATCCTGCAGTCACAGAGGACTTTGTGATCAAATTCACCCAATTCCTCATGGACACTGACAGCAGAGGCTCTAAGCATGCTCCCACACCTTTCCCTGCAGAGTCAGTCTCTTATCTCCCCGCGGCTGGGCCAACTGGCGCAGTGATCTTCTCTGACTCAGATGCAGAGTCCCTATCAGTCTCCCTATCAGTCTCCCTGATGTCTCCTGTCCTTACTGAAGATATACAGGGGACCGTTTCGGCCCATATTGATACAGTACGTGCAACTCTGCATCCAGAAGATCAGCCTGCTGTCTCCAGTGTCGGGTCTTTCAGAGCTCCTACACCCGCAGGACTGTAAAGGCAGACATACATGCACACACCAGGGGCAGACATACATGCACACACCAGGGGCAGACATACATGCACACACCAGGGGCAGACATACATGCACACACCAGGGGCAGACATACATGCACACACCAGGGGCAGACATACATGCACACACCAGGGGCAGACATACATGCACACACCAGGGGCAGACATACATGCACACACCAGGGGCAGACATACATGAGATCTTCTCTGACTCAGATGCAGAGTCCCTATCAGTCTCCCTATCAGTCTCCCTGATGTCTCCTGTCCTTACTGAAGATATACAGGGGACCGTTTCGGCCCATATTGATACAGTACGTGCAACTCTGCATCCAGAAGATCAGCCTGCTGTCTCCAGTGTCGGGTCTTTCAGAGCTCCTACACCCGCAGGACTGTAAAGGCAGACATACATGCACACACCAGGGGCAGACATACATGCACACACCAGGGGCAGACATACATGTACATCAGGGGCAGAAATACACACACATTAGAGGCAGACATACATGCAGACATCAGGGGCAGACATACATGCACACACCAGAGGCAGACATACATGCACACACCAGAGGCAGACATACATGCACACACCAGAGGCAGACATACATGTACATCAGGGGCAGAAATACATGTACATCAGGGGCAGAAATACATGTACATCAGGGGCAGAAATACATGTACATCAGGGGCAGACATACACGCACACCAGGGGCAGACATACACACACATTAGAGGCAGACATACACACACATTAGAGGCAGACATACATGCACACACCAGAGGCAGACATACATGCACACACCAGAGGCAGACATACATGCACACACCAGAGGCAGACATACATGCACACACCAGAGGCAGACATACATGCACACACCAGAGGCAGACATACATGCACACACCAGAGGCAGACATACATGCACACACCAGGGGCAGACATACATGCACACACCAGGGGCAGACATACATGCACACATCAGGGGCAGACATACATGCACACATCAGGGGCAGACATACATGCACACACCAGAGGCAGACATACACAATAGGGGCAGAAGTACAAACATACATTAGGGACAGATACACACACTAGGGGCAGACACAGAAAAATGACACATACACACATATGAGGGGCAGACACATCAGGGGCAGACAATACACACATATGAGGGGCAGACACATCAGGGGCAGACATATACACGTATGAGGGGCAGACACATCAGGGGCAGACATACACACATATGAGGGGCAGACATACACACATGAGGGGCAGACACATCAGGGGCAGACAATACACACGTATGAGGGGTAGACACATTAGGGGCAGACATACACACATATGAGGGGCAGACACATCTGGGGCAGACATACACACATGAGGGGCAGACACATCAGGGGCAGACAATACACACGTATGAGGGGCAGACACAACAGGGGCAGACATACACACATATGAGGGGCAGACATATCAGGGGCAGACATACACACGTATGAGGGGCAGACACAAAAGGGGCAGACATACACACATATGAGGGGCAGACACATCAGGGGCAGACATACACACGTATGAGGGGCAGACACATCAGGGGCAGACATACACACGTCAGGGGCAGACTCTCTGTTTGGTGACCACTTTGTTTTTGTTCCTGGTCATCGGGTTGATTCTCTTGTGTCCTCCCTCTGGTCTTATCGGCAGGGTTCTCTATCAGGTAGGGTGCTTGGCTTCATCTAGTGTCATATTTTGATGTTGGTCCTTCAGGCAGCTCTTGGAATGCACACAGCCCCTGGTTCTGTTTTGTTGGGCCAATTAGAGGTTGTTGTGGTTTGGCTAACCCTCGGTTGGACTGCTTTTGATAATCCTGACAGACCTCCTGTGCCCATCAATGCACGAGAAAGGAAATAGGATTGTTGTACTCAATGTAAAACCCTTTTGTTGGAGTGCACAGATCCCACCCCTAGTCCCCACTCCTCTGTGCTTGCCAGTGTCCAATCCTTGTGTAGGCAGCCGCATACCCTCAGCGGACCCTAAGAAGAGGATATTACACGGAGTACAGAAACCCTATGTTATGGTGCAGAAGCATTGGCGTGCATCCTCCTAGGGGCAGAGCTTATACCCAGAGGCCTGCTGTGACCCCAAATATATTGTAAAGCGCTACGCAAACTGTTGGCGCTATATACACCCTGTATAATAATAAATAACCTTCTGAGCAATGTATTTTTGTATGGTGCCTTCAGGAGAATAATAATCCCAATTATTCCAGATAAAATACTGATTATTAGTATATCATTTTTGTTCCATCCTTCAGATGTCTCATGCGAGAAAAGTCCGGAGTCCAGCCATCCGACATCTCCGGAAAGGAGGAGTCCGGAACACACAGTCCATGGCCCATCCACTGAGGTGAGCGTAGCAGAAAGTAGTTATGTTGTGTGGCCATCATAGATACATAAATGAAGGACCACGATTGTGGAAGATATTCCATCCTGATAAGTGTACGAGGTTAATACATGCAATGATACCGGTAGTATTCAGAATATGATCAGTTTTTGTTACCTTTGGTTTAAAGGAGAACTATGGGGGGGGGGGTGCTTTTCACTCACCTCAGTTCTAGCCGACCTGTGACAATGAGACTGTCACAGGTCGGCTCAGTAGATCGGGAGGTGAGGGAACACATACCGGCGTTCGCTCACCTCTCGATCCTGTCACGGCTCTCTGCCGGGACAGGGGGAGGGGCTGGGTTCCCCCCTCCCCGCTCCGATCTGCCAGCGCTGACTGGTGGAATGGACGGGAGAGGGGGCGGGTACAGCTGGCTCTGCCTCTAGATAGGAGGAGCCAGCTGTCAGTCACGCAGCTGGGCGGATCCAGACATAATTGTCGGGATCCATTTCAGCTGCGGCGTCTCAGTATATAGGGAGCTGTAGCTCGCGGTATACTGAGCCTAGGGTGACGGGAGGACGCTTCTTTGTGTCCTCCCGTTACCCTAAGGAGAACTATGAGGAAAGTCCTAACCCCATAGTTCTCCTTTAAAATTTTCTCTACTTGTACCTGCAGGCCAAACTAACAAAGAAAAGTGGCAGTGACAACGTGTGAGCCAAACTAACATACTGTTGGGTAGGAGGAGGGTTATGCTGGTCACCTTCCATTCATCGGGGTTAAATATTTAAAAGAAAAAAAAAAACTTCCTGACACTCTTCAAGCTCCCCCTGGCAGTGTTTGAGGTTATCTGTATCAGTCACTGTCACTTGTACTGGACAGCTTGGCCGGCCATTTTAAAATGGGTCCCTGCAGCCCTGTGGTGTGTTTGTTCCTATCACTGCTCCATAGAGCTCCCTGCACTGTGAGGCACATGGAAGCTGATTCTGCTGATCTTTCCTTCTGCTTGTTGTCTGCCTGTCATGTTAATCTAGTGGCTTCAGTATTCGGATGCCTAGATGTGTCATTGTTATTAAGGGCCACAGGTCTGGTGTTGTATATGGGGTGCTCACTGACACCCATTTTCCATTTCCAGGGCTCCTCACAGTTGGGGCAAAAGAAAGTTGCTTTTCGGACTCAGCCCGACATTCGCTTCATGACCCTTCAGAGGACGCTGGGGGACCAAGGAGAATGGACAGCACCTAGTGATGGAGGAGAGAGCGATCAGGACCCTGCGCTGGACTCAGGATTCTCTCTGCTAAAGTCAGTAACCACTTGGGGCAAATAGTGTAGAAAATGCTCCGTCCTCCCCTCTCTCTATCCGTCCATCAGCTCCCACCTCTCTCCGTCCATCAGCTCCCACCCCTCTCCGTCCACCAGCTCCCACCCCTCTCCGTCCACCAGCTCCCACCCCTCTCCGTCCACCAGCTCCCACC